GTGCACGAAGGAATCCAGCAAAGCAAAGACTCGAACTTAGGACCTATTGGTCACTGATGGAATGACATCACCTACAAACTGCTTATAAAACATGTGGTTGGACTACATTTTACGGGAACAAAAATATCAGGGAAAAGGAAAACGAAAACATATATTCTACACTGCTACGAGTGCAAATAGATAACAGCAGAAGAATGAAAAATCAGTTGTTCCAGGCTTCCAGCCCCTGGTTTGAGGAAGAAATCAGTGGCGGGCTGAAACTTTACATCTCCAACTGATTCCCTAACACTTCTCAATTATCATAAGTTTCTGGATTTTTAGGTCAGTTTATCCCTTAAATTTTTGGGCATTGCTGTTTGCTAACTGCTGATTGTCACTGCAATTGGTTATTGCTTAAATTTGCAGTGGTACCTTTTTGTATCCTCTGTTTTTCTTTTGTATTTGCTATTCTAATGCAAGCCCATTTTCTGTATCGAATGAATTTCTACTTAGTAAGTTTGGTCTGGTTGGATTCTGTGGTTTAATGGTTGGATTTTTACAAACTAACTGTTTTGGTTTCACAGATTTCTGTTGTGAAGGTCAATGTTGCACGCTATATCTGCGCCCAAAACTTGTACTAATATATCTTATCCAAGAAGACCCTGCTTTCATCTGCGGCATTTAGCTCCAACAAGGCTTCGTGTTTCGGCTTCATTGCCAGAATCCAATGGGGTTAAAGTGGAGTATACCCCATGGCTTATTGTTGGATTGGGAAACCCCGGAAATAAATATCACGGGACACGCCACAATGTATAAACAAGTTCATTTCTTTTTTGGGTGGTTGTTGTGCATTCCTGATAATTTCGTGCATTATTTGTTCAAGTGCTAAATACCATTTTGAGCATATGTAATCTGTTTTGTTTGTATTAGGTTGGGTTTGAAATGATAGATTGCATATCCCAAGCAGAAGGCATTGTGATGAACACTATACAGTCAAAGGCATTGGTGGGAATAGGTGCTTATGTTGCTCACTACATACTCGGCAAATTGTCTGAATTAGCTTCATTCTATACTCGTAGGGCAGTTTATATGGCTGCTCAAACCTTTTTGGCTTAATCTATGCAGGTTCTATTGGAGAAGTTCCGGTCTTGCTGGCCAAACCTCAGGCGTACATGAACTATAGTGGTGAATCAGTATGTTCTTCGACATTTGTTTTTAATAGGAGTATATGTATTCTAAATTGTCCAATGTATTGGTACTTGGTTCTTTGGACAACAATTATGTATGAATTTCTACTTTTACTATTATTCTTGTTGTATTTGATTTTGAAAACCCAATATGATTGAACACCAGCATAATTTATTAGCTGCAAACTTTTGAGAGTGGCTAACCATTGCAACACAAGGATAAACTCAAACAACATTGTTCTTCTCAGTTAAAGAAATATCTTATAATATATTTCTGCAACAAACCCCGAAACCAGTTTGACCCTTTGTTGTAGCACTCAAACAATCACTCGAATTTTTAAGGTTAATATTTCTATGTGAGAAAATGTTGGACACATGTGACCATAGATTTAGATCTTGCTTTGCACTGTCAATAAATTAGCAGCTGCATAAACGTTGAAGATATCAATGGTCAGCATATCTTTTATGCAGTAATATTTCGTTCCTCATCAAGTTTTTCTCCCTATCCATTTGTGCAAATTAACATCTTCCTATTGTGATTGGACGTTGTCTTTAAACCCCTAAGCTTGACTTGCTTTCTCTAAATTGCACCCTGCTCCTTTTACTTGCTGTTTGCAGTTTGCTTTGCTGCTTTAGATTTTCATAGCAATCAACGACTGCTTGGCAACTTAATACAGCCTTATTAAAATTGTCTAGATATCTGTTTCTTATTCTACTCTTGATGTTCTGAACTGTTATCTTTCACTTCATATGATTGGCATCAGAAAACCTGACTTTCTGCTTAATTGCTGTCCTGCGTCTCAAGTAATTAATTGCTAGATCATTGTTCATTCTATTTTTTACTAGGTTGGACCACTTGCTGCATACTACAGAGTACCTTTGCGCCACATCCTACTGGTTTGCATTTTTTACCATGTGCTATTAACATTTTCTGGTTAATGTGGTGTGAGATTGATGATGCATGTTTTTCCTTTCTAACGAAATATTTCTGAGCCATCTAATCATTTTGTAGGTCTATGACGAGATGAGCTTACCAAATGGTGTTTTACGGCTTCAACCCAAAGGAGGTCATGGTCATCACAATGGGTATAGTTATTGGACAATGATTTATAAAAAATAAATAAATAAAATTCCAGATAACTAAAATGTTATTGTCACACTTTGTGTCAGTTGACTTTATTTAATCTCCTCACACCTCGGAGTGCATGTGTGGTTGACTGAATTCTTCTTTTTTCAAGTAAAATATATGTGCTTGTAAATTGCAAGCAAATGAAGTTCAGATTATAGAAGAGAAGACTAAAAAGTTAACAGTCTCTAAATGCCCCAGTTATGTGTAGGCTAACAAGTCATTGTTGTCTCAATTGAAGTATCACATATTTCATCTTAGAATTTTGACTATTTCCATTTAGCTTGGTCAGTAACACATGCTCATTTAGCGGCCTAAAATGCCATTCTACTTGATGGGACTTCGACCCCGATAACCAGCTTCTTTCTTAAGCTTGAAGAGTCTGCTAGCAGTGCGCCTGTTTGCCATGTTGGCAATTAGAAATTTTTTTTAGGCAACTAGAAATAGTTCTTTGATTTAAACTAAACACCTGAATTTGGTGAAGAAGTTGCTGACCATCAATGTGACGGTCTTCAGTTCATCTTAAATGTTGTCGGTAATCACTTTGTGTACTTGGACATGGTGTTAGTAATTAGCCAAGTTGTAGGGCATTTTTCTGCATTTAGTTTATAATCATTCAGAAATAAGGTGTGTTGCCTTCATCTTTCCCAATACTTGATTGATTAGTTCATATTGCATGTGTAAATATGTAGATAGACACTCTGTTCCTGTATCACTGTTATGTGAATTAACTGAGGAATTTTCTCAAATATTTTTTATTTGCATTTTCTGATATGACGATAATTATCCTTGTTGAGCCCTCAAATCTAAATGTTGGAATCTTATCATGTTGCTGCTATCAAAGATCATATATATTCTGTTCTAAGGCTCAATATGTAGCTCTTTCGAAAAAAAGAAAGTCTTACTATGTGGCATGCTTGCTCTTTCTGCATTACACTTTAACTACCTGTCATTCTTACTGCTGAATTAGGATAGCCACAGTTTTTGCTTTTCTGTCACAGGGTGAAGAGCGTAATGGAGCATTTGGATGGCCGTCGCGAATTTCCACGGTTTTGCATTGGTTAGTATTTTGGATTCCATGCTTGTGGTAATAACATACTTTTGTCCTAAGCTTGAGGTCAAACTCACGTTCTCTTGTAGGCATTGGAAATCCACCTGGTACCATGGACATGAAGGCTTTTCTACTTCAGAAGTTCAGTACAGTGGAGCGAGAGCAGGTAAAAGATTTTGTCAGCCCTATACCAAGGATTAGGTTGTTTATTCTGTTACGAAGAGCATAGTGTTAAAATGGACTTGATTCCTCATTAAAGGTTACATATGACCATCCCCCTTACGGTATACTGTAAAGTATAGGTCTATAATGCTAATACACTTTCTGTTCTTTCTGGGATTTCCCCATAGAAGTACTGCTCGTCTGCTGCTGAATTCGTGGACCGGAACGAAGATAAACTTTAAGTTGTTGCAGCTATGTATCAACTGTACATTTGCTTGGAGCTAATGACTTTCTTTCATAATTTGCAGATAGACGCAGCGCTGGAACAGGGTGTTGAAGCTGTTAGAGCCCTGATCCAGGAAGGATTCAACAGTAGAATTACAAGATTTAATCTTGGGCAGAAATACAAATATCATAAAGTATAACACAATTGAAGCCAACAAATTTTGTATAGAGATGTCATCTAGCAGAATATATTGTAGGAAAAGCTGTCAATTGAGACTGGACTCTATTTGGAATCAGCTCCAAAAGTAACTTTATACATGCAGGCTGATGTCTCAAGTAAATGGATTTCAATAGCTTTGTTTCTTACTAGCATCTCTCTCTCTGGTACTTTTGTCTTGTAAACCTTGTCCGCTATTTTCCTTTGAGGTCTGTAACGAAGACATAAACATTCATCCAACTGGCACCCTTTCAAGGTATAAGACACTTTGCCGAAACAGTGAGATGCAATCTTTCATTAACGTACAAATCAAGAAAACCTTTGTAGTTACTTATTAAGATAGCAGTAGCCGGGAAGAACTTGAGCGGATAAAACAACTCTCTCACCGAAAAGAAGTAGATGTTTCGCAAGAATATGAGCATTACACAATTTTGCAGTTCATAAATTAGTAGCAAATATAACGTCAGTTCAGGTATGTTGACGTTAACAATTTTTGTTCGGCACTGAAACAGCAGCATCGCAAGTAAATCTAATCCAGCAGCAGCCATTTGTAGAGTGAACTGATAGCCGTCCTGGTACCAAACAGGGAAAGACATCCAACAAAAACAATGAACCCAAAAGGTAGTGGCTTCCCAGAAGTTAACTTCTAGTAATGCATAGGATCCTGAAAATTTGGATGTGGTAACAATTTCTAAAGCACATCGCAGGAGACAAAACTTCACTAGCTTTGTACTAATCACAAAGTACTCCTTTCTATTTCTTTTATTCCTTTTTTTTCTTTTTTTTTTGGTGGGCACATAAAAGAGATTTTGTTTCTCACTTTCTAATCTCTCAAAGAAATGATTAGTACAAAAGAAAGGAATGCGATCAAATCCCAAGTAGTCCACTCCTTAAAAAAAAAAAAATATATATATATATATCCCAAGTAGTCCACTCTTCCTGTGATTTGGTTTGCCTTTTCCAACATAAACAGGACCTACCTAAATATTAACGTTGGGGAAAAACGTGGGGCCTCTGAATAGCCCCCCTTTTATTAGACCGTTGTGAACTCAAAACCTCTTAGAAACTCCGAAAACTGGACTGGACTACAAAATCCATCAATAAAATCTCTTCAGATTACCATCGACAATGGCAGGGACCTCCGCCTCTCTGCAACACAACCAATCTCTCACTTCTTTCTACACTGCCCTTGATCCGAACTCCTTAATCCTCTCCCAATTCTTTAATTCTGATCAGCCTCAAATGCTGAAATTGACTACTACCGAGTCTTTTTTCATGGAAAGAGGGCCGAGATATAAAGACTATGCTGCTCTCAGAGAATCAAGGCTGAGAATGAAGAGTATGCAGCAGCCAATTCTTGAAGAAGAGGAATTGATTCTAACCCCACCAAAGAAACAGGTCAAATTTCAAGGGATTTTTGCTACACCACCAAAAAGGCCAAAAGGGACATCAACATCCTCTGTCTTGACTCAATCTGTTCCCGATTTTTCATCGGCACTGAGGAAAGAGAACCGGAAGCCGCCACCGTTGCCTACTCTGCCACCTACAATGGAGAAGTCAGTGACCCCTCCGTTGCGGTCGAAAAGCGGGAACTCTGGGAGGTTTGATGGGATTATGGGGAAGCTGGGAGGGAGTAAGTCTGTGAATTCAGGGGAGAAAAGGAGTGGAGGATTGATGGCTAGGAAGAGCTATGCAAGTATGGAGGATTTGCGAGGGTTGGCTTCTGATGCAAGAAATGCTATCAATGCAGAAAACAGGGGAGGAAGGATTGGAAGAGGAATCGGCAAGACTGTTTTGGGCTATAGGCAGTTTTGAGTTTGGAGTGGGCTGCTTTTGCTTTTGCCATGATTCTATTCTTCCCTCTTCATGTGATGATTTTTCTTTTTCTGTCATTAGTTTACTTTTTGTTCTTTGATTTTTTCCGAAGGTGGATTTGACTCCTTGAGAGGGATTTGACTCTTTGACTTGAAAAGGTTTATCACCTGAAAGATTCTTTCAAGATAATTTTCTTGATGGATTTTCTACTGTGTAGGAGCAGAGCACAGTGATTTGGTGTAACATAGAATATTGGATTTATTTGTGATGATACGGATTGATTCACATAATCACATTCTTTTTTTTTTATTTTCTTATAATAGTTATTTATTCGTTCCGTTGCTAAAGAGCCGTTTTGTTCGTTTACATAAAAAGTGACTGCTGTTACCAAATCCTTGATGAGCATTTACTTACAGGTATCTGCCTCAATTAAGACCTGCTAGTTAACGTTGCTTCCACGAAAGATTATTGTTTCCTCAATTTCCACTTTGTTCGTATGGCTGGACTAGATACGGCACGTTTGTTTCCCTGTTAGATTTTCCTTTCTAGAAGTACAGGATCAGCTGTTCAAGGTAAAGTATTACCCATCACATGCAGCTTCTCAAATAGGATAAACGGGGCAAGGAAAAAAAAAAGAAAAGAAAAGAAAGGTAATTTAGCAATACAATACTTTTTACAGATTCAATAGCTTCTGTTGTAGTAAAGAGTACCCAATTTGAATCCATTACTTTCTACAAAAATAATGCCATTAGGACCGGAACAAGAAGAGAGGAGGAGTCAATTAGAAGAGGGTACATGGCCATTAGCAAGTCCATATTTAGCAGCCTTAGCTTGCACTGGAGCATATAAAGTCAACTACAACCTCTGTAATCAAGCTTTGGAGTATTTGCTGATCGATTCCAGTACCTGTCTCAAATGCTTCAAGCTCAAAATCAGTCCATTTCCCAAAAGAGTGACTCATTTCTTGTTCTATTAGTTCATCAACCATTAGGCCAGCCAATCCTGCCCACCTTCCAACCTCCTCAACAATCTCACATATCAGCATTTCAGTTTTCATGCGGAGAGGAAGTCTTGTCCAGGCATTGAATCCGGAGTTTGAATATCGGGCAAATCTCGACTCCAAATATTCAATGACACAATCAAACACAAAACCTTTTAGTTGATTTCCTTCTTTATTAATATCAAAAGCAGCAAAGCCACTAAAGTTTGTCCACATGACGCTCGCTAGCAGCTCCAGTTCATTAAGGACAAAATGACTGATTGAAAAGCCTCCATTAACAACTGCATCAGGCAGAGCTGCGTTTACGAACACCAGTTCAGCATTCAAAATGACCTCCTTTGCGTGTGTGAGCTTTCTTCCCTTCAGATGGCCATCGGCAAGGTTTATAGCGCTAAAAACTTCAGAAATGTTGTTGAGGAGATGGGTTACCGACTCTCTATAGAACTTTCCCATGCTTAATGAGCATGCAGAGTCCAAAAGATCTGCATCAGTCTCCAGTTGACGTTGTCCTTCATAGTATTCCGTAGATTCCATACCCAGATTGCACCCTGGAATTAGAAGCAAATATTTGGATAATAAGAAATGAAATAGCATTTGAGATCTTTGCTGAGTACATCTAGAAGATGTACAATTATTGTAAGTGAAACAACAGACTATTTACTGGAAATCTTTTCAACAGCAAAGAGTTTGAGAGCCATTTACTTGAGCCATCATCCAGACTACTGGAGGCAAAGCTGTCATTGGAAAAAGAGGCATCAAGAACAGATCCAGGGCTTAGATGTTCACCATTAGGTAGATATCCAACTGAAATCTTGGTTGATTTTGGTTTGGCCTGTGAAGAGAAAACCAAAATAAAGATCATAGGTGGACAATCGTCTCCAATCAAGCATGCCGTCTAACAAGGGCATGTCAACAAAAACACATTAAAAGAGAAAAAATCCTATTACATCTGAACATACATTAGTATTGGTATTAATGAGGGAAGTCACCATTCCTTCACAGAGACAAAGAAACTCAAGTCCATGTAATTGTACATGCCACTTAATTTGCCTTCCAGAATATCAAAATAAATCGCACTAGTAGCAAATACTATCTTAATATTCTAACACATTCCTGACAAATAAAATAAGCAATTCATTTAGTTATCAATGTACTTAGCCTGAAAAAGTGACCAGCAACAGATATGAAAACTGTTTTACCCTTAATGAAACGAGAATCTCTTCTGCAAAAAATGTGCACTCAAGCTAATAGTTGAATTGACTGCCAAACTCACTAATACCTACCTTCAAACAGTTTCCTTTACTCATTGTAAAAGCAGCACAATGAATTCTTCTAAATTATCAAGAACTTGTTTTGTCATACCACTTTGACTTAATATGCAGCATACAAGGCTGAACAATGAAGAAGCTGTTATCCCTCTTACTTTTTTCCCCCTTCCCCTAGAGGTATTATATGCTTGTCAGTCCAAAAAGAGATAAGCAAGAAACAAATAATCTGTACAAATATACATCGGTATTTATCTGCTTTGGATGGAGAGCAAGTCCACTGCAAGAAAGGAAGGCTTAAGTTCAATCATTCTCTACATAGACCACAGCTCTTAGCATTTCCAATTTATATAACATGAATTTTGATTGGGAGCATCTCTAAATGTAGCATGCTAAAAGTGAGTACTACAGTAGTACTAGTTAATCACATAACAAAATCATGTGCTGCTCAAATTATGTTTATTATATTTGGCAGCTCAATGAATGAATTGCATAAAAGAAATGGACGGTATATCAGAGTGAGGAATTATCTAGCAAAACCGCAGATGATAATAGGAACTTTTGTCAATGAATTTGTTCTAAATTTGTTTCAACACTCAACATGAACTCATTTTCTGCTTATTGCCATAATTCATGTGAACCCATGTCCTGTTTACCATACAAGAGTTGAAGAGCAACAGGACATTTCCTCGACAAAGAGGTACTTAAAAAGTTTTAAGTTGAGAATTGCTACCTCCTTATTTAAGTGAGAACGAATACAGAGAAAATCAAGTTCCATCCTTCAAAACCCTCTATTTATCTTATGATTAAACACGTGTGCAAATATTGTAATGATATCTGAGATAAAATATCATGTTCTCAGTACAATTATTGAGTTAATTAGAAGGAGTAATCCAGCAGGTAAGTTTCATTACAATCTGCCAACAAGAGGAATGACAAACCTGGAAAGCAGCAAAGGTTTTATCGTCAAGTTGCTGATTATCAGAGCGTAAATAGCTGTCCCTGTTATTGACTCCATAAACTAATTGATCCCAATGAGACGGTCTCTCTGTTGTTAAGGCAGATATCAACTCCTGCAGAATCACAGCAGTGGTTTTTCTAGGTGCAGTATCCCCAAAGGCAGAATCCTCCTCCTGACAAGTCAGTTCCTTTAACTTTTGTTCTAGAAGTACGCCAAGACTATCTCCACTCAAAGGAAATGATTTGAGAGAGTGTCTTTTCCCCTCATTTTCATTCAATGATAATTTCCTTAGAGTACCTTCACTATTTGGACCACTTTGATTTCTTTTTCCTTCCATATCTGCATGAATTCCTGTCTTACGCTTCATTGGGGATTTAAATGTGAAGGAGATAACATCACTATCATTCTGGCTACTATCAGCATTTATGCTTCCTTGCAGATGTGCCAATCTAATACTAGTGCAGGGTCCAATAGTTGAATGACTAGTCGAAGACCTGCCTTTCACTGAAATTGCACTAGATCTTATATTGGTTGGTTTGACCAAAGTAGAGCTGACAAATCTAGAACCTTCATTTTGCCTAGAACTATTCAATGATCTTCTTTTCTGCAGTGGAGATAAGGAATCATGCCCCCTGTCTCTGAATCGCTGATCTGTATCAAGTCGATAGATATCCTGTTTCGGTGACATCCTCAAATGGGAATGGTTGCTAATGTTTTGCTTCTGTAAAACTAAATTTGTTGTCTCATTTGTAGCATTTGCTGCTGCTGATACTCTGTTGCTCTGCACTCTAATTAACTTCGATCTTGAAGGTAACCTGTCCCTCACCTGAAACATTTGATCTTGCCCCTGCGTCTTGTGCCTTAAACAAGCTGGAGATACATCCTTCTGAAGCTTACCTTGTGGACTAGCTGCTTGCCACAGTCTTTGACCTGCTTTCTTGAGAAGCTTTATCTCTGGCATATAGTTTGCACAAGGCTGTCTACCTTCCATATCAGCAGCAGCATACAACTGGGAACCCTCTTCAGTTTTACCCTTTTCTAGCTCAGGGCAGAATATGGCAAGTCTTCCGCTCTCCCTTTCCAACATCTGACAAGGAGGATGCACAAATTGTGAGACAGATGATAAAGCCGGTTGTTGTTCTGCTGTACTCACTCCACCAAGCGAATGACCGCAGTTTGTGCAAGATGATGACTGCCCATTGAGTGGCTTAGCAGAAGTCTGAAAACACCTAGCATCTTGGAATGACTCCACATCATTTGCCTCCACCAAGAAGGCATCTGCTGTAGGAGGGTGATCAATAGCATTCGAGTAAGCAAGGGCACATTTTGACTTACTCCTCTGCAACCCAGGTTCCAAAATTCTAGTAGCAGCGCCGATAAATCGAGATGCATTCCTACCAGAAACATTTCGGGGACTTTTTACTGGAGAAACCAGTTTTTGATGATGCTTTCTCGATCTTGATAACATATGCTTTATTTGCAATGCCTCAGATCCAAACTTAGTCACTGGCTTTCTCTCACTTAGTCCAGTCTTCTGTAGCTTTTGAGGCCTGAACTCCTGTTTTGTCTCTCCTTTCTCTGCAATCAACTCCTCCCTCTCAAACCTGCCATGTCTATGTACAAATTCCTCTTTATCGCTTCCACTCCCAGACAACAAAGTCTTCTTTGACTTATCCTGCTTTACAGCAGGCATTGATTCCAAACCCATGAGTCTAGCAACCAATCCAGGAGCTCGCATTTCATTCTTTTGTGCAGTGTCACCGTTACAACAGCCCTCATTCTTCTTCATATAAGGAAATCCACCACTGTTCTCATCAGCAATCTATGTCATTCATGGAAAAAAGGGTATCCGAATAATTAGAACCAGCAAAGCAACTAAACAAGCATTCTAGGTGGTGGTCACTATTCCAAAATAATCATTAAACCAAAGCACTGAAAATTAACTGATATAGTGCATACCAAACGAAGCTTTGGCAGCTTTTCATCTACTCCAAACTTCTTTGAAGACTTTCTCAGACGAACTAACACAATTTTAACAACGAATCTCGTGTTATAACGCATATA